AGGTCGTGTTTTGTTTGACATCTCCCCGACTCCAGTTCACCCAACTCTTCTTCTTCTCAGCACAGTCAAGTCTTTATATATGATGTTGCCTTGTCTCAGCAGCAGGTATTTCCAGTAGAGGAGACCTATCTCCATTTTATTTGTCTCCTTTATATATGCATCCCCCACATTACACCTGACAGTGTGTCAGTACTATAAAACGAGCGTTTTCCTGCGAGCCAGCTGCTGGGGAGGGAGCGGGTGCAGGAACCAGCCTGGTCCCAGGTGCTCCCCCGGCTGCTGGTGGCACCAGGCATCACCCCCCACCGCGAGGTGCACCAGAACAATGCAGCAAAACCACGGCTGTGCCCCAAAACGCTGCTTGGGTCTGCAGAGAAGGATCAGTAACTTTCAAGGAAGTTGTTGCCTGATTTTCTGCTTTCGTCTTCCAGGAGCGATGGCGCTCTTCCCTGCGACAGCAGAGGAAATACTGATCAGCTCCTCAAGGAACCAGGCACAGAGAGGTGGCCAAGTATTTTTTTTTTTCTCCGCACCAAACATGTTTGTGCTGAAATAGGTCTTTTCACCCAAGGTTAAGCTCCACTGAATTTCTAGCAGCATTTTGCATTGCTGTCTCAGTTTTGCAAACTTTTGACAATGACAAGAAACCTGATGTGCTTTTCCAAATTTTTTAGGGACTCATTTTTCCCAAATTAGCGTAAAGGTATCTGCTTTTGTTTTAAGGGAGTTCGGTCTCAAAACTGTTGTTTGAATTCTGATGGAAAAAGGAAGCTGGAGGGGGGAAAAAAAAATCCTTAGGGAAGCGTCAGAAGAAAACAAACTCCTCATGCAGACTCTGATAAAAGAAGAGGCAGCTGTGCCGCAGCTTAGCCCGCTGTGGCCCGCAAAGCAATGCCCTCTCGTGGGCTCAAGCAGCGGCTGCCCAGTAACGCGCCTGTATCCGAGAGCGTCATTCATGGCGATTTACTGCCCGTGACCACTGCCGCGGAGCACAGGTTTCCTGGGGAGGGCAGCGTTTGGGATGCCCTAGCTGCTCCCGGTGAGCAGGAGCTTCAGCTGCGCTGGGAGCAGCACCTGGGGGCACTGGGAGGGCACGAGAGGTGCGTTGGGATGTGCACTGGGCCGAGTTCGGGCAGAGGAGCACGGGAGCGAGGACAGGCTCCAGAGGTAAACTCCACCGTGCCTCATCTCCGTTCCCTGTCCGTCAAGCAGGGGTGGCAAGGCCGCTTTAACCAGGCCCTTTAAACACCCTGTCGCTCTGATAGCCAACGCCGAACCCTGGCCACTGCACCAGGGGCCTCGGAGGAGAAATAAGGCAACTCTGAAAGTCTGGGGAATTTCTCCAGTTTCCACTCTCTGAACTCACCGTCTTTCTCATGCAACATTTCCTGCAGCTTGTGGACAACTGGATTTTTGCAGCACGTTCGTTATGTTTCTCTGCTCGGAAGCCCCTGGTTTGGGTGTGCTGAGACAGCCGTGGCTCGCGGCATCTCATGGTGGATGATGCTCCCATCGGTAACGCCTTCACTGGTCTTTTTTTTTTTTTTCGGTCCTCCTCCACGCTGAGGAGATTGAGGTCGCTTTGCGCGCGAGACTTCACCGTCAGCGTCGGCCCCCCCAGCCGTGGGGCCCGGCTCGCCGCCCCGCTCGCCCCCGCGGCTCTGCCGGGATGCCTGTCTGCCCAGATTCCAGATCAGGAACGTAAGCTCTGCCCAAATATGGGATAAACGCAGCCTGCAGAGAGGACTTCCCCCCACCCTTAACCTCTGGCAGTTGGATTGCAACATATAAACCAGAACCTCTCCAAGAGCCAGCGCTGCGCGCAGGAGAGCATTAGAATAGGAGAAAAATGAGCTCGTTTCCCTTTCCAGACAAACTGAAAAACCTCCTTGGTGCTAGTACTAGCTAGGTTTGGAAAACCATTGTCTAAATACAGTCTTACTAGAACTATGCAAATAAATCAGTTATTTACTAACAACATTATGGTTCTTGATCAGCTGAACAATGCATTTGATAAACACTATGATTTGTTGTTCCATCTTTCCAGTGATTAATGAATTCTATTTCATTTTATACATTTTTTACTTTAAAAAGGCATTTCATATGCCATTCACAACAATTTCTGCAACTATCAAATGGCAATCATATGTCTAAGAAGTGACTAATATTGATATCAAGCTAGTAATAATTAATGGCATAGTTACAGAAATGTTAATGTTTGAACCATTTAAGCCAGCATGTATTTTGCTGGATCCTTCTTGCTCTTAACACGCTGACAGAGCTGTCCCAGGATGGGCCAAGAGACGCTGATGCAGCTTCGTGAGGCTTCAGCTACAGCTTTGGATGTGGCGTTATAAACGTCGGTACCTGTGTTAGTTACTCCAAGGAAATACTACCAGCTCCATCCCGGAGTGACTGTTTATACATCTCACTACTACAAATATCCAAAGCTTGTGATTTTAGCAAGGAATGGGATAATTCCAGGTTAACGAAGCCCTGGCACTGTGCAGAGATCAACCACAAAACGAGCAAGCGTGTGCTGCATTGTGACAAAATTAGCAGAGAAGACGTGGAAATAACGTAAGCGAGCTGTGAAGCGTGTTACCTGCAGAGGTGCCGGCAGCACGCTGCCGTGCCGGACGGCTGTGCAGAGGACAGGGCAGCTCTGCGCTGCGGGCTACGCCGCGGCAGCCTGCCCGAGACCGGGAGCCGCCTGCCGCACAGACCCTTCGCCATGTCCTTCGCTCTCCAGGCACGAGGAGTTTCACTGTACGTGTGCGTAAAGTCAGGCCTGTTCTCCTCTCCTAGGGCAGATCGAATGCCTTCGAAAACAAGAGTTGCTTAAAACTGCCACGCATGTAACGAAGCTTCTAGCTCTGACTTGAAGCAACAAAGCCTGGGAAATTTAAAGTGAGCCTGAGCTTTACACTTCCTCATTAAACTTTTATGTTCCTCTTCACAGGGGTGGGAATAAAGACTCGGCATGAGGAGGTGCTCTTGGCTTTACGTTCCTTGGGTTTCTGATGGTCGTTTTTTTCTGTCTTAGAGTCACTTTAAAAAGGGAGAGACACGGGGAGATGAAATGACTTTCACAAAGACACAAAACAGATCCATGACAGCAACTAACTCATAAAACTGCAAAAAGTTCCCTGCGGCCAGGCCCACGGTACAGAGCCCTCACCTCGTTACCCTTCGGTCCTAGCCTAGCTCTTAAGTTCCTCTCTAACCGCTTCCCTGTGGCGCAGACTTCCTCGAGGAAAATTACACAAAGCAAAGCAAAGGCTTGTTTTTGCAGCTTGGTTTTAACACGAGTTACAACTGTATTTCAACCTAGGTTATTGTAAAGACCGCTTTTCTTATTTAATTTTTTTATTTTGCTCCCCTTAACCTATAGCAAAGTGCATGAACTCTGCTTTGAAGGTGAGGTATTAGCGCTGGTGGGTGCTCGTGGATTCGGTGCAGGGCCCAGAGCGTAATCCTCCCCCCCCACCACTCAGCTTTGCTGAACACGTCTTATTTCAGAGTTCAGCCAAGGGACATACTGCAATAAGGCAAACCTGGAAAACACCCGGTCTGGTCCCAGCGTGCGTTCTGGCCACGCTAGCGTGAAGCACGATTTCTTCTGTGCGTGCCACACAACGCCTCCTTTCCGTCTCGGATGCATTTTGGCCAGTTCCGTTAATGATTAATGAGATGCTCCTTCCCAGGAAAGTGCTGGAAACCAGGATCCCAGAGGGCTTGCGTAGACAAGACACCCACCTTTTTGCCCAGAAGCTGCTCCTCCTGTCCCATGGCAAATCCCTGCCGCTAAAAGATGCCAAACAGCAAAGATCGCAGAGGACGCTCCCAGGACCTTGTGGTATTTCTGCTGAAAAATAATTGCATGTTGAACACGTGATGCACAACTGTCTGAACAAGAGCAAAAGAAGTGGCTGCAGAAACCTCTCCTTAAAGGCAATTAACAGATCTATAGTTGGCTGGAGCAGGAGCGCTGCAAAGAGCAAGGCGTGCGCGTCTCCTGAATAATTCAGCTCTGGAGATGAGCGTATTGCCTTTCCCTGTCAAGGAGCGAGACACGGCGCTTTGTTCAATACAGAGGCAGTAGACCTTGAAACGAGGAGTAGTGAGTGGCAGCAAGGAGCTAATCAGTTCTCTGGCACTTGGAAATGCTGCTGTCAGCACTGCAATCCAGATGGGGAACTGCATAACGGCATCATGAAAAATCAACATCGGCTTCGCGCTGGCTGCTCCGGAGGAGCCGTGCCTGCCTGGCGGTCCCCGAGCAAGTGCCTTACCCTAGCGGAGGGGTGATGCAAAGAGAGCAACAGTGCTTTCCTCCATCTATTTGACAAAAAGCCAACCCCAAAGTAAAGGCTGCCATCAGCCTGGCTATACTCTCTGGGGACAAAGAAGCAGTTTTGCGGCACTTTACATTTTCACACGAGATTGCTTAGAAAAATGAAGGAGAACCACCTAAGGTGAAAACTCAGTGTACCAAGGTGAAAGCATGCTGCAGCTCACTGCAGAGGCTCCGACACAGGCGTGAAGCAACGAAAGTCCTACAGCATCAGCAACGTTGGCGTTGTACGGAGTTCCCAGCCTGCAGGCAAGACAGTACCTGACAGGCCGATGGGCTTAGTTATGAAAATAGGCTGCCCCAGAGGTGGAGGTCACCACCAGAAGGTGGTGTAAGCCTTCAGTCCGCGTTCGAGCCGGGGAGGGGGGTCGGCAGCACCGGCCTCCCGCGAAATGGGGTCTTTTCTGGCCGCACGCAGACGCGGTGCACGCCGGTGGGGCCACAGGCTGCTGCAGAGGTTGATAATCGTAATCAGGGGAAATTTGTCAAAACCAACACATTTTATGAAGCATGTTGACTTCAACCATTCATCATTTGTAACAAAAACTTTTGTCAGAAAAATATCAGCCAGATGCCTCACGCAGGTGCTATGAGGAACAAAGGTGCTTTCCTCAATCAGCACGACAAAGGAGCATACTGAACACGCCACAGGTACTTAGCAAAAATCAAATGCAAACGCACTGTGTAAATTCTCCACTTTTTTTTTGCAAGATGCTGGAAGTAGCTAACACAAGGGTCCAAGCTGCACGTTGCAAGTCTGAATCAAAATGCCCATGCAGTTGGTGCCTTGCTTCACAACTGAGATCCGCTCACCGTCCCGAAGCACCAGTCTATAGAGACAAACATGAAATTAATGTCAAAACATCAAGATTCCTCCAGAATGCAAATTCTGGCTTGATGGATCCGCCGAGTGTGGACTTACCTATAAACGCAAAGACATGAGACCAAGCCCAGCTGAGGCCAGGCTGGTGTTCGCTCCCCGGTGGCGTGCCGGGACCCTGACTCTGCTGCACCGGCCCTGGCAGCCTCCTTTCCCACGCAGGAAATCCCAAATTGGTGGCCCTGCTCCCTGCACACAAAGTGTATTAACTGTATGTTTGCCAGCTTGAGGCACCGACAAGTGTTGCATGAGAATATACCAATTTCAGTGCAAAAACAACACCGCAAGCCTATTACTCACCTTTATGAAGAGGATGAAAAGAAACATGATCATTTGCTCATGGGACAATGATGAATTAACCCAGCCAGGCGGGTGGCGCAGGGGGAGCGTGCCAGCCCTCCGGGGGGGTTACCACACCAAGGGACCAAAGAACGTCCCAGGCGCAGAGCGGCCCACGGTTGTGTTCCTGGCTGCCTGACGCATTGGGAAATCAAAAGCGACAACTCACACGAGGTTCAGAGGACAACAGCATGTCCAGCTGCAGCTCCTGCACATCAGTGATGGCATCCTCTGGCAGGAGGCGTCTCAAACGCTGCATTTCCCACAGGGCTTTAGGGCCGGCTTATCACAAATAAAGTTTAACACACCAAAAGCAGCCAAGCAAGGCTAGGGATCACTGCCAGTGGAATACAAATCTCAGCTGGGCCCTGGTCCGTTTTTGCTTGACGGCCACATGACAGACGCATTTGCTCCCAGGCCTTGCGTGGGGCGATGCTCTGGCCTGTCAGGGGGTGAGGCGACGTGCCCAAACCCACTGGCCGTGGGCCATCGCCTGCTGCGGCCACCCCTTCCCTGCCGCTCCCAAACAGCCTGTCTCC